CAATCTTTTTTCGCTTTTGCCGTCTGGAGATTTTCATGGCTTGCGAAAGTAAACATTTTTACAGTCCGCTTTATTTTGTTTTTGGCTTCCCGAACAATGCGTGCAGTTGTTACTAGTTTCGGTTCATTAATCATGTGTCGGGGAAATACTTATGTGTGCACCAACCTGCTGGGCATAAGAAATGAGAAAATGGGACAAAGAGATACCAGTGGGAAAATTGCCAAGGGCCTCGAAAGGCGATTATGAATTAATCATATGATTAAAGGGTAAACTTATCATGACATAAGAAGATTTGTGCTTGTGGTGTCATTTTGCTTTTCCTCTGAAAATTAAGTTTAGCAAGCTTTTCATGACATAATAATCTTTGCTGGCTGGAAACTAAAATTAGTTAGTATATTGCCTTAGTTTAACTTTCTAATCTTTCTTACTGGTTTCTCTTTTGTTTTTAAAGAGTAAAATGCATTTCAACAGTTTGTAAGTACCGAATCAATTTTAAGTGAGCTGACCAGAGTTTAAATTAAACCTGAAAACCTTGAGTAAATGCAATTGTGTTAAGCTACCTTTTTTTTTTTTGAACTGTATAACGCGATTAGGTTTCCCTCTTTTCTTCAGCTCCAACTGGCTGGCTTAAAGTTTTTAATTAACTTAAATCAATGACAGTTTACATTGCCGATAGAAACGTTTGCGAAATGACCAGCTAGGGACTTCAGCTGGGATTGACTATTGTTTCATTGAGACAATGACAAAGTAACTAGCATCGAATCGATCGGAATGGAAAGCCGCAAATATAGCCGAGCTATTAAGTATCCCAGGCACAAGGCGGATGGTCGGTTGGTCGACCAGATGGCTGGACAATTGCCGCAAATCACAGTGGGACAGCCACTCGAAATATGTGTACTGTTTGGCTGGGTTTCCGCTGAAAGTGCAGGCAATTTACGCCAAAGAGGCGGAGATCTAATGCTGGAATGAAGTGTTGCCGGGTGAAGAATTGCTGGCTTGATTTTAAATGCAACTGACCGCCGACCAGAAGCAATGAACTTGCCACCATGCGGCCGTAATTCGAGCCACAAACAGAAAGCCCATGTAATACAAGAAGGTTGTGGGAAATTCCACCGGACCGGCGAAGAACACCACTCGATGAGGGTGGTGTGTGACTGTGATGTGTGTGAAAGTCCAAGGCGGCGAGTGGATCAAGTTTAAATTACCATAAAATATGTAGAGACAACGCATGCGCAACACGTAACCCGATGCAGATACATTTTAGTGGACTTGCAGACACAGATACAGATACAGATACAGCTAAAGATACTGTCCAGCTTGGCCCTGTTCAGGGTGCCCCGTTCACCTTGGAACGGCGCTTAAAAAAGTCGTTTAACATCGTGTTTTGGGGGCCAAAAGCGTCAAAGAGTCCGTGGTCTATATATCCCCTCATATGAAGGGGTTTGCTCTATATGATAAATCCATTGGCCTTTGGCCAATTTCATGCTCGCTGAGGCGTCGTTTCGACAACCTGATGTTTTGTACACTGCTCTTATTCGACTAATTGAGTTATGTTGCACATTTCGGCAAGTCAGCGAGTCGGCTTCATGGTTCTGCGACTGCTGCGGATATTTGCCAATTGAGTTATTGCCTTTTGGCTGTGCATTAGCGTGCGCTCTCCTGAGATTTCGCAATGGAAAGTTTGGCCAACTCTTTAGACCAAGTTCTGTGTGCGAGCACATCGTCGGCCAAAACGGGTTGGCTTGGCAAACACGGTTAACGGTTTTCGGAGTGCTGTGAATCGTTTTGTCACGCCTTCGATTCGAGCCATAAGAAAACCCTCCTCAAATGTTTGCCTAAGTTTCTGGCACCCAGTTGCAGGTGCAGTTTGCACCTTTCTAAACGAAGTACATAACATTTTAGCTCATCACCTGCTTAAGCTAGTTTCAATGATTTCTTACCCTTTTAGTTTTTATGTATCGAACAGATAGGAAGCTGGGGAAGCCAGTTTTAAAGCACTTACTTAATCGCAATTGACGGGTGCTTTGGCGAACCCCCAAGCAATGGAGATGTGAGTGGGTTGATAAGATGAAAAATGCTATTAGACCTAAGAAATTGTAGAAAAATGCACTGATTGGCTCAGAATTTATTACTACCCTTTTCCGGTGAATAATTTAACATTCTTAAAAACTTCGATCTAAACCAACTTTCAAAATAAAATAAGATTCCCATAATATTGAATTAAAGTTTAATCATTAATATGTTCTGAGGGCTTTCGTCTTGTCCGAAAAAAAATGTAAATGGCTTGCAAAAAACATTCTTCAATTAAGTTAAAAATATAAATCTCTAGTTTTTTCTTTAAACAACAATTTATTAAACACAATTTCAATTTGATGGCTTTTCTTCTTTTGTTCTGTTTACATTTTTAAATCAGTTCCCCCGACATTCGGAAAGCTTTAAATATTAAAATTGCTTGCATTTTAAAGGAATTTTAAATATTTATGAAAATGTCAGCAAGGTTTTCGTCGAGTTTAAAGGAATTCGTAAAATATTTGTTGTTTAATTGTGAGAATTCCGTTTTTAAATACTTATTTGCCCACAATTTATGGCCAGTGCAACCGATAAATTGAGCAAAACTCTTTCAGGTTTCAATGTCATTAAAATGTTAGTTCTCTTTGCACCCCTTTAATTATTATTTATACAGACTGCTGTCAGCTGATTAAAAGATTAAAATCAAACACGAATTTACAGTCACGTAACGTTTATATAATTTTCCACATTTCCGTGCAGAGATAAACATTTCGAATAACTAAATTGGTAATTTCGCAAGGTAATAAACTAAAGAAATAAAAGTGAGTCTGCAGTTCTGGAAAGTAATAATAATCAGCCTCGTAGCCCCATTCCCCCATTTAGTGCGATATCAAATACGAGATTTGTGGGATTTTGCTCTTTTGCTCTCTCCCTCTATCTTTCTCTTTCTCTCTCAGTTTCTCCGTCTCATTCTTAGCTCATTTCCAATAAGCAATTCTACTTGCTTTATTGGTTTTCCTGACAAACTTGTTCGAAACTCTAGCGGAGCGGACAGGTTGCTCTGAGGGGAGAGAACCCGGAGTCAGCATGTTTTCAAGATCAAAAAGCGAATGGCGGTGTAGCTCAAGAAATTGCACAAAAATTTACACACTTCACAACAACAAAGAATGAGAGAGGGAGAGAGGCAAGAGTTATGGAAAGGAAACTGCAAAAGGGAACCTTTCACTGCAAATACACTGGAAAAATATGTAAGTAGCCATACAATACATCGACGACATTATAATCAGCAATACATAGTCTTTCCGTAAGAATATCTTTAACATCCATTGGTTAAGTGACAGTGGAAACTGATTATAAGGTGGTCCAGAATTAAGTACTGCTATAGAAAAATGTGATGGAAACTATTTTAAAATAATCCTAAACATATGTGCAATCAAACAATTTATTTGAACAAGAATTTCTAAAAACAAAAAATTAATTTTTTTATTTTATGCTCTATGTCCGGTATGAGATGGTACTTTTTGGTAATAAGAAATGAAAATAATAATTTCTTTCTCTGTCCCTATTGGAGAGGTAATGTAGAATTAGTGATAAACATAAAGAAAGGCGGCGCAATTGAAAAGTGGCACAGATGCCAGGGCAGCGGCCCCAAAAGGCAACGGTACCCAAGAGCAGGAGCGCAAAAGGAATCCAGGAGTGGAGTGGGGGCAGCATCAGCAATCAAAAAAAGGGGGCGGGGAATCAGGAGCAGGAGCGGCGCAAAAAGTGTGTGCGTATCAACAAAGCGGATGGTCGAGGGCTGGGCCCGAATGATGGGATGCCCAAGGGCGTGGGTGGTGGGTTGGTGGCTTTTCACTGGGAACAGTAGCACTCGCTATGCTTATTTCGTACAATTTTTTTTATTCTCCTTTTGAGAAATATGCGCACTTCCAAAACTAAGGCAAAAACTTACCTGTAAAATATGAGCACGCTGCGTAGCGAGCTATTTAATAATTTACGGTTCGTCGAAGATTTACGACCCACTGGATATGTCAAACTGCAATGATTCCGGAATATTTTTGTATTTTTAGAATATTTGGCAGGGCGAAAAAGAGCACAACACTTTTATAACAAATTTTTCTTGTTGATGGGGGGGAAGTTATTGGCGGCTGGTAAATATTGTTGATGCTGGGGCATACAGTAAGTGAACGGGGAGTACGCAGCACTGTTTTGATTGAGCGCGCGCAAAAAATTATACACAAAATCACGCACACAGCGAAATTCAGATAGAGACGCACCGATGGCTTAAAACTGGGGCCCGAGAAGAGAGCGTAGGGTGTGTTTTGGATGCTTCCAGGCACCGACCACGATACAACTGCACTCGGCACTAGACTCGAATCGTGGCTTAAATCACTCGGCACTCGTTCAGCTGCGAATCAGTGGGATGTGCGACCGTCTGCTTGGAAGCTTGCTTTCGAACTGAAGCCGTTTTTGAGCTGCTGCTGCTGCTGCCACAGCCACCACCAATACATGCGCGGAAAGCAGGTTGCTCTAGCTGAAAGCTCGGCTCGCCAGTAACACCAGAAAGACCAAAAGTCATATTGTGAGCTTTTTAACCGTTGCCAGATTGTTGGAAATAAGTTACATTTCTGTGCTTTCTTTTACCCTCTAGCACCAGCGGCTAAGTAATTAGGAATGTTTAAAAGAGTATATCTTTTTGATTTGAGAAATTTTGTAGAATATTAAGTAAAACGGATTTTATTTTACTAGATAGAGGTCTGAAACAGAAACCGTGTTAATCATGTTTTCTTTTTTAGAAGTCTATAATTTAAACGGTAGAAAACAATACTTAACGTTATAATATAAATAACATAAAGGCACTCATGTAACATCATAAAACATTATATATACAATTAAAATTGAAAGAACACATCTAGTTAACTTCAAATTATTTTCAAAATTTAATTCTGAGCTAATCGAACCAAGCCATGAGCCTTTGCTCAAGCAAAGCCCTAAAAAGCCGATGCCCTCGTTTTCCACTCAAATTCCGAGCTGACTTTGAAAATGCCTATCCCCGATCCCTGTTTCCCAGACGAGTTGGACAGAGAATGAGCTACATGGAGGACTGTTTCGCGGGGGCTCCGCAGGAGTTTCTCATCTGCATTACCGTCCACAAGGCCGTTCAAGTGGGAGTGACCTCTGGAGACTTATATGTGAGGATTAGTCTGGACAAAATGACCAAGAGTACCAAGTCGTACCCCAACACCGAGAATCCCTTTTTCAATGAGGTTTGTATGACTTAATGAAATAATAATATCCTTAATCAGCATTTTAACCTCTTTCAGTACTTTGTCTTTGAGTTTCACTGCACCTTAACCGAACTCCTGCGCCTAACGATCCTTTTTGAGCTCAAGAAGCACATGACGTACAAGAAAAATGTGCTGGTTGCTGAGTTGCTGGTGGATCTGCATAGTGTATGGAACCAGTCCAATCACGGCTACTTCAAGAAGTGGGGCCGCCTGGAGGCACCCATTGGGGAACACCAATCTCTGGAGACTACCACACAATCTCACGGCTATTTGCAACTCGATCTGGCCATTGTATCCCAGCACAGTACGATAATCACTGGTCTAAGGTCTGAGGATCAGGACAACCAAATCCTGAACAAATGGTCGGTGGATCACGATTATGATGACATCGAGAAGTAAGTACAAAATTGAATTGAATCTGATTTATTTCTTAGTATCTGATTCCGCTAGGAACCTCCTAACCAACGTGAGTTCGTTCGCTCCCAGCAACATCCGCTACTTTGTCGCCTTTTACCGGGGTTACTTCACCAAGCAGAGCAACTACATGATTCAAGTATCGTTTGCCGGCTTCAATGTATTTGGCGCCCGGCATTGAATTGGTTTTTCCGTTTCTAAAGTACAGATTCCATCCTTTCAAGGGCAAAACGCCGGTGGCCAGGAACACGACGACGCCTGTGTGGAACCACGAGATCAACTTTGCCTGGATGTATCCATCGGTGGCGCAGCGATTCCTCATCCTTATTTTGGCCCAAGAGCATCTGCAGTGGAAGTGCGTGGCGGAGTACGAAGTGTCCCTCGAAGAGATCGCCTTTAAGGGTGAGTCCTTGTTAAATTATGGAATTAGGTCTTTTAAACAAATTAGTGTTATTTAAATCATCGGGGTCACCAAAAGAGTTACCCTTATCAAAGTTGTGAGTTTGAGTTTTGTGAAAGTTCTTAATATATATTTTCTGTAGCAACCCCATCACTGGGCCCCACCTACCTTCATCTTTACGATCCCGTCAACCCCATGACCTATGTGGGTCGCCTGCTAATGGAACTTCGTTCTGAAATGTTAAATGATTCGCAACCAAATCATATTTTGGATTCAAAGACAGTGCCTGGCTTGGATGAGTCACGTTTTTGGCTCGACGATGTCTACCTGGTTGAGTTTCTTCCAATACTCGGTCAACACATCCACACAACTGCTGCCGCGTACAAGATCTCTGCGAGATTGGCTGAGCACAGCTCTAATGTGCTGGAGGGTCAACTAAGTACACCTTTGGGTCGCATTCAATCCGCCGTCCATACAAGAAGTTTCCGTCGAGAGGCTCCCTTTCGCAGCTGCATGTTTCGTGTCCGTTTGCCAGACAATCGAGCCAAGTATGAAAGCGATTTCTTTATGCTGGATTTAGTCAATTATATGGTAAGACACTACTGGATTTAAACCGAATATATTGATATATACGATTTTCCCCTCCATTTTAGCGTTCTGAATTGGAAACCTTCAAGATCTTCCAGCTGAAGCATCCTCTACAGGAAGAGGAGCAGGCCAAGTGCCTGAAGGCCATTGTGGGTAACATTTTGACCAGGATTAAGGAGGGTCTAGATGCCCACCGTTTCGACCACGACGTTCAACCCCAGCGCACCACCTGGGACTTTAACCGGCAACTTTACCTGCTCGACTATTTCGCCAAACTGCCACAGGAACTGCATCAAGTGAAACAGAAGCTGCGCAACTGCTTCTTGGAGCACCTGGATGCCACCATTGCTGATGTGGTTATGGAGCTGCAGCGTCTGGTAGCCGAAATCGGAGGCCTTTCTAGCATGGCTCGCACGCAGGACGAGTGGCCGGAATTGATCCTTTCCTTGAGTGCAGGTGGAAAGGATTTGGGAGTTTGCCGGCTAAACGCTAAGCTCTTTTTACATTTACAAAATCAACATCAAGATACAGATCTTCAACAGGAGACATTGTGCTGGCGACTTAAGAGTTTCGCCTTCAAGGCCTCGAGTTGTACGCACACCTGTCCCAACTGTGGTTGCACAACGGCCATAGTCTTGGGATGTCTGTCCATTGTGGTGGAACGTGAGCGAAAGGAGTTTCTCTCGGTGATCAGTGGAGATTGGACCAGCATAGAACCAATGCTGTGGCAACCAAATCCTGCACAGACGCACTTCCTCTGCCACGTTTACGTTCACCAGGCCAAAGTTCGTCCTGGTGGCGAAAAGAAGAACATCTGTGATTCCCACTTGCGGATCCTGTTCGCTGGGCAGGCATGTGAAACTTATACATCCCCCGGAACACTCTCCCCCATTTGGAATGCTGTCATAACATTTAATAATTTGTCTCTCCCCGGGAGTGTTAATCTATACTTGAAGAATCCTCCTCTTCTCTCTTTGGAGTTCTACAATACAGAACGAAGTCTTCCCGATGATCTCGTGGGCATGGGCAGTGTGCCAGTGAGCGTTATTAGCGAGGATCGGGCCACTGACTCCAGCTGGGAGGATGAAGGTGGACTGGGTTGGTCCCGAAAACCCCTTCAAAAGTTGCAAAGGCTGAAACACCTAACTCCACCTCCTCTTAAATGGGTGCCAGTAGCCAGGAAGGGTTCTGTTCAAGCAGAGGTCTTGATGTCAGCGGAGCTGATTGAGCTCTCAGTGGATCCCAGTGGTCAGGATATAAAGAAGGAGCCAATACTCGCCACGGGAATTCCGTCTGTCATTAGACCCAATATGCAGAACTTTGTGTGAGTTTTCTAATTTATATTATTTACTAAGAGTCTAATCCATTTATTTATAGCTTAGAGGTTTTCTTCGTCGGACTGCGCAACTACTCCAAAAGCAGCATGAGTTCGTCGGGCAAGCGGAAGATCAAGGTGATGATGGGTGACCTGGTTTTGACCAGTGGACCCTCCACAGCGCGCTTCCGCAATTGCATTAACTTCCTGGTGGCCTATGCTTCGGGTGTGGTTGTAAGTTAATCCTAATGGACATTGCCTCCTCATCTATCTTTTACCGCCTCCAGAGTCTCCCAGATCAGCAGGAATACTGGCCAGCGATCATAGCCACCGATGTGCTGCTCTCCGGCTTCAGCAGTGAATCAGTTTTGGGAGCTGCGCTCATACCCAACTCCTCGAATTTCCTGCAACGCAACAGGAAGCTCAAGTGTGTGCCCAAAATGGAGCAGACTTCCCGAGAAGATTCCACCACGGTGAGTGTGGATGAAGACGAGGAGGAGGAAGAGGAGGACGAACTGGAATGGGAAGAGGAGGAGGCCAAGCCCACCAGGATTAGCAACTGGTGGATGCGATTCATGTTTGCTGTAGGTCTACGACCCGCTGCCTATGCCAATCGCCAGGCTTTGAGGAACAATGGTGATCTGGATGACGGCGAAGTGATCGAAGAACGAGAGTTCACCTGGTGGACCAAGTTCTACAACTCAATGTACTGGAGTGCGGCGGAGATGAGCCACGATCATAAGCATCGCCTGGTCATCTACCACGAAGAACTGGAGAAGCAGGCTCAGTTTAGTTACCTCCAGGATTGGGCCGTGCCTGTCCAGTTGGTTCATGGGGTGAAGTTCAAGAAGCAGGCTCCCCCCAAAGAGGATATCTATGCCACCTTGAAGCTGCACCTCAAGTTGACCCCTTGTCAGTGCCCAGTGCTCGAGGATCCCGGAGGTGGTGGAGACATGACCCGCCCCATGGCAAACCCAATACATCCGCGATATCAGTCCACTCTCCAGTCATTGAATACGATCATTAAGCTAATCGTACGTGTGTATATAGTGCAGGGTGTGCAGATGCGTCCTCGGGATTTAAAAGGCGACTCCGATTGCTATGTGAAACTCTTTCTGGGCGGTAAAATGATCTCCGATCGAGCCCACTTCTCCCCCAATCATAGCAATCCGGTTTTTGGTCGTCTATTTGAAATGGAGGCCACGTTACCCGGTGATCATATGCTGCAGATAATGGTGTATGATCATGACAAGATCAAGGACGAAGTGATTGGTCAGACAGTCATCGATTTGGAGGATCGCTGGAGGACGAGGCATCGAGCCACGGTGGGCTTGGCCAACGAGTATACACGAAGCGGCTATAACCACTGGCACGACCTGAAGTTGCCCTCGGAAATTCTCATAAATCTCTGCCATCGGAGGGGTATTCAGGCTCCCTACTATTATGGCAATGTGATTGAAGTGGACGGAATGCTTTTCGGAGATGAAACTGTAATATCAAAGGGTGAGTAACTCCCAACTTTATTAACTGTGATCAAGTGCCCTTAGATTCTTGCTTAATTTCAGATGAGGAGCTGCAAGAACGACTTAGTCTAGCAGTGCTTAAGAACATGGAAAAGTTGCCCTCTTTTGGCTACAAGCTGGTTCCCGAGCATGTGGAGACTCGTTCCCTTTATCGCGATGACTTTCCAAACGTCGAACAGGTAAGGTATTATACCAAAACCAGTTAAAGGGAGGTGTAACTTATAAACATAAGCTAAAAGAATTATGTGCCTAATCTAACCCAATCAAATGAACCATTACTCATTTTTCAAACTATCTAAAAATAGCTTAGCACCATGATAGCTATAATTAGTTGTGATATAAAGGGTCTAGACAGCCATTATCATAAATAGCAACCTAATTTATGGTAATAGCATTAACGTATAATTGTTGATAAAAGACCACGAATGTGGTTTTATCGAATGGCTTTCATGTTATCAATTAAAATGGTATACAACAACATAATTAATTAGAAAAGGGACCTTTTTAAAGCATAATTTTGGTGATATGAATAAGTAGAGGGATTGGCTTAATTGTAAACTTAATCTACAGGGTAAACTCCAGATGTGGATCGAGCTGTTCGAGGCGAACATCTATGTGCCCAATCCTATCGACATAACCCCAGTGCCGCCATCGGATTTCGAGGTGCGTGTTGTGGTCAAAAATCTGCATGGAATTCAGGCTGGCGACAAAAACATTTTTGGCAAACTAATGAGCGACATTTACGTGATAGGGTAAGTGGGTCGTTGAATTGGGATTGGGATGGGGATGGGAATGGGGATTGGAATTGGGATTGGGGGTGGCTTATTACCAGTGGCTTACAAGCGGATCCGAGTAAACGATATGCAATTACCGACGTTTTTCTCGATACTTTGCAGCTGGTGCGAGGATGAGGACAAGCGCCAAACGACCGATATCCATTACCGCTCATTTGCTGGCGATGCGGCATTTAATTGGCGCTTGGTCTTCGGCATGAAGTATTCCCCCAACGAGGACCTGGTAAGCCTTGACCTTCCTAATTGGTCATGGTAGACAATACACAAGCTACCACCACCGCATTAATTATTCCTTTGGCTCCCGTTTCCGTTTTTTAATTATATTTTAAAGATGGTTGTTCGCCGCAAGGCCGGTCTGCTGGAGGAGATGGAGTTCAAAAAGCCTCCGGTTATCTATCTGCAGGTCTGGGACAAGGATGTGCTATCCAAGGATGAGTACCTGGCCGCCCTTGAGCTTAACCTCTCCAATATGTACGCTCCGTATCCGAACGCCCAGCTTTGCAAGCCGTATCCCAAAACGAGGAAGCGCATCAATCTCTTTAAACGCAAGGTCATCAGCGGTTGGTTTCCGCTTCAAAATAATCTACATCCTTCACAACACTCACAAGCTAAAGTTAGAAATGTGAGTGTTGATGGTTGCATTCCAATGAAGGCTTATTTCTGACCTCCAGCGCATTTTCAGGGAAAAATCCAGCTTAATATTGAGATCTGCTCGGATGTGGAGGCCTCCAATCGACCGGCGGGTCGTGGACAGGACCCACCAATGGCCTTGGAACCACCCTAGTAAGTCTCCTTTTATTTATAAAAATAAATTGATACTTTGCTGAATGTTGTTTTATTTATTTTTACCTTTAGCCGGCCGGATACATCTTTCAACCCGCTGACGCATCCCTGCAAGTCCCTAAGGCTCATCCTCTGGCCCGTCATTCGAAAATATGTCCTGTGGACTCTATTTATATTAATAGTTATCCTGGGACTGGTGATCTTCTTTTCTAATCTGCCCGGCAAGCTAATGACAATCCCACTTGAGTGAGCAGTTTTTGTTTTTTTGTTGTTTGTTAGTTTCTATTTATATTGTTGAAGTTTAAATTTAATTGACTTTTCATTTTAATAGTTTTTCAATAAACTAACTTGTTGTACAGCCACTCCGTCACTTTAAAAGTAATTAATTGAAAAGACTAATAGCCTTCTTGAGTGCAAGGGGGTAAATGCGATAATAGCGACTGGGACTTAAGCCCACAGATGCAGGTTGTCCTTTTTAATGGCGTTGGTGGGTTAAATTACAAATTGTAGGTTATTAAAACTCATTTTTAGCGACCTTTTCAAATATCTTGTCTCCTGTGCAAGGGCTGGCTTAAATACATTAGTAGTAACATTAACAAACAGAACAAAAAATTTGTATGAAATTTCCACACTTAAAAAAAAAAATAAGAAAGTATTAAAAGTACGGTAAAATTCAGTGAGAGTAAAATTAATTATAGAAAATACATTTTTAGTCGAGCCTAAGTATGTATTTTATTTATTATATCATTTGACTCTGTATGTGCTAGCTTTTTAAACTTCTCATTTTTACTTATTGATTCAAACTCTGATTGGCAACTTTGGCAAATCACTTGTCCGGTTTTTAACTTCCGACAGAAGCCCTTTAAAAAATCCAGAACTATCCCAGAGCTATTGCACTATTTCACCATGAGGGTGACAAAATGGCAATTCGCTAGTTTGTGAGTTTTTATGTGTACATATGGTATCTATATCGGTTCGATTTAGTCGGGGTGTTAATGTGTTAATGGCGGCAGTTGTGGCGACAGGAGGCGAGAGTGACGAAAGGCTGTCAGAACGCTTATCAGGACCGCCCCGAACTGGTCTAAACCGTTCTGACCGGGAAACTTGCAGGGCAGAAAGGCTGCCACGTTCAGTTGGTGTCCAGCTATCGGAGCTGTCGGTTCGCAAATCACTTAGCAGGAAACTCCCAGGGACAATTAACCCCTTGCAGTCAGCAGCCAACGCTTTCCCATCAAAGGTGCTAATTAATTTTCATAATTAAAGTGCCTGACGTCCATCTCAATTGTGAGAGTTTCAACTTAACTTGGCTATATCGCTATATCCTTTGGTCTCACTCCTTTTCCGTCGCAGCAAATTGCCGAGTCCTTGGTCGCGTTTTTGTAGTGCTTCATCCACGTCGCAGGAACGGATCGGCAGTGAAACATATGGCAAGCAGCCTTAAATGCGGCTAAACTCAGTTCGAAAATACTCGGAAAATTCCTGCTGCTGTCGCAGTTGTGCCTGCTCCGTGTTCTCCGTTCTAGTCTTGGTGGAAATCAAAATCAAGTTCAAGTTTTTTAAATTCAAAGTCGATTGAAGATGTAAGTTATTCTCGTCCGCTGCTCATTGGGGAACTATTTAAGACGCTAATCGAGTGAGAAAATCCACAGAACATCGAGTATTTTGAGGAAAATTAAGGTGAGGTTTTTATTGTACTTGTTTGATCGACCGTATTGACTTTAAATAACACTGTGTTACACCAAAAGTATAATTCAATTACTTTTTTTTTAATGTTTCTTACATTATTTAAAGCAACAAAACTGTTCGTTTAAAAACTATATAAAAAATGTTCTTCAAAAGCTTAAGTGGAGTAAAAATTTTCTATGGCCAAAAAAATAATTTCTTGTCGCCTTTCGTAAATTTTCTCTATAACTATATAAACACTCCTTTTGCTGTTAACATTTATTTCCAATTATTGTCTTAAATTATTTTTTGTATGCTTAGACCTCTAAGATTTTGTGACATCATAAATATATATACAAGTCCGAAAACAGAAAATTTTACCGAAAATACTAAAACCTGACCTAAAGTAACCTTTTAAAAAGGTCTTTTAATTAAGGGATTTATTTACCCCACGGACGACCGATGTTTGCTCTGATATTTGCCCACCATCACCACTTAGACTAATCGAATTGCCACAAATTTCGTCAACTCATCCACCTGCCTGTGGAAATAATCAGAACATTGTCTCACCTGAGGGGCAGTACCTTCAATTTAATTAGACCGAGTAAGGAGCGCGAAATCGAGGCCTTAAATCGTCCGTCCGATAGAAATCGGTGTAATGTAATTAGGAGTTACTAATTCGACTAGAAATTTCGGAGCACTTCGACTAGGCTTGCAGTTCGAATCCTTTGCTCGGCGAAAGCGGTAACAAAATGAGTCTGGAGGAATTGGAGAAAGTGGAGTAAGTCGGGATTTACAGGGGCTTGGCATTATGCAAATTCCTCGAAACCGAGTGGCGAAAATAAACAAGCCATTAATTAGACACTTCCAGTTAATGGGCTGGCGGAACGGAGTCCCGGGTTCGATTCCCTCGGGCAGAAGCTATAAAAGGGGGAATGACAAACGGCCATTGACCAGCTAGCCATCAAGTATGCTCGTACATATGTATATATGCACGCACAGTGCGTGTAATTTGGCCAAGGGTTACTTCACACTTAGTCCTAGTTGCAGTTACGATTTGGTTCTGGTCCGACACAGTCATCTCCATTGTATCGTCCTCGGGGTTATCTCTATTATCGGGCGATATCATTTGACAGGCGGGTTATCTAAATTGGTTTGCTGTCGGCTTACGCGTACACAAACCGTTTAGCCCAATCAATATCTAATTAGCCCACTGATTGTGCCGGTCCAATGATGTGTGATAAATTGCGAAATACCAATGAGGTACTAAACACCACGTACAGTCGCGACCAGCGGCCCTTTACAATTACAGCAGCGGCCACGGACCGGCAGGCGAGCGGTACTAGCATTAGGATGCCCAAGCTTTACAACGGCGTCTACAGCGGCCAGTGCGGCGCCCTCTCGCCCCCCGACCTCATGGAGGCCCAGCCCAAGCTGGTGCCCAAGCCACGCAGCAACAGCAGCGGCAGCACCGGTCGCAACAGCAAGGTAAGTGTCCAAAACTTAGGGTTTTACATATCATAAATGGTACCTAAAATAAAAATTTAAAGCTAGACAAATGCACAAATATCCCAAATAAATAAATAAAATTCAAATTTCTTCTGATCAATACTCTCGGTATATAAGTTTTTTGTTTAGTCAATTGATTTTAAAATACAGTAACAGAAAAATGTACTTTTTTGTTTTCAAATAAATCAGTCACAAGCTTTGATGTCCATCCCTCTAGGTCCAGTTCAACAGTTTTCCAAAATTTCAAACGAGGTTTTCTTTTACATCACAAGCAAACATGCTTTTAACAAACTCGCCTAGGCAAAATAATTAGATGTAAAGTGCGTGAAGCCCCTTTCAGCAATAATTATACGACGTAATATATTTTATTGGGTCTATCAACAATAGGTTTTTGTCACGCGCAACATCTTTCAATGTACCATAAAATTAATCACCTTGTAATGCTAATAATGTTAATGAATTAATAAAAAAAAATAATTTTTTTTACACCTTAAATGTAATCATTAATAATGACTAAAATATATACCTATGAATATTATCTTACGCTTCAAGTTGCCAACAAAATATTTTCTTTAAATTTCCCTTAAAATATAACATATATATTATTTCCTTTTTATTAGACATCCAAAATATTTGAAAAAGAGCTAGGCCTCAATATATAAGTTCAGTGTTTACTCAAAAGACTCTTTGCTAATTTATTTATTTTATTTTATTCTATTTTTTGAGTTAACAACCAAGCAGTTATCGACTAGCGCACTGCTACTCAAGATGCAACTTTATCTAATCGGTTTACAAAATATTTGGTTTTACTGTGTGGGTCTATACCAGTAGTCGGCACACGTACTATAACGTACTCGTACTTCTTTGTGTTAGTAATTTGCAGGGCAAAACTTGTCAGTGTGTGTATGCCGACTGCGGTTGAATACTGTTCGTGTCTGCTGCCGCTCTGCTGCAGCTCAGCCGGCAAGACCTTAGTGCCGACCACTAAAAAGTGAAAGGAAAAGGATTGTTGTTACTTTTACTTAAATTTATTAAATCACATTTTTGACATTTGTTTTGCAGTATTGGATATTCTCAATGATAATCGAGCGCAGTGCGGGTCCCAAGCGCATGGAAATCGATGGCGATGATGCGGACACTCCGCTGGAGGCCATCTTGCCAGCCGAACCGCCTGCGGAGGTCTGCCTTTTGCGTGACAGCCCCTTCAGGATTTTGCGGGTGAGTTGATCGGGTTGGGTAAAATGCATGTGGGGGTGAAGGGGACCGCAATTCTCTAAAGTGAAGAATTGTGGCAATTCCCCGAACGAGACCTACGCTAAATGCTCCCCGATTGAATCTTTGCCTCGGGTGTTCGAATGTTCGGGAAAAGAAGCTTTGGCTAGATGGTGTAAGTTACATTTCTAATACGATTTTTTTTTAGTTTTAATATATATATTTTAAAGTATGGTTGAGCAAATATAACTGTTCGCATGCGCGGATCCTTTAGGGGGCTTAAACCTCTTTCTACTCTAGTGAAAAGTAATAGAGTCTCCCAAAAACCTTTTTAGGTACTGGTATATTATATATATATATATATATAAGTCTCTGCTAGATTGTTAATAAATTTTGCTATCCATGCATTTATATTTACCATCCAAAATACTAATAGAGAAAGGCGCAACAAGTCCTGTTGGCATAGAAAAATAGATTGAAATTGAAACCGATGTTGACGGGCGAATTGAACAAAATTCACGAAGCACATCCTTCTAAAAGGACCTGTGCCACACGAACACGAAGCTGCTGCCAGTTGGCTATAAAAGCAGGAATGCTTAGTCTGAGATTTCAGTCATTCAGCGGCTCTTCCTGCGTGGACCTAACCTTCTATTGCCTCCGGATATTTACCCTCCATTGCTCTAACCCAAAGTCATATTTACTTGGCAAGAAATTCAGTGTCAAAACGATTCGATTTGTGACATTTATTGCGGTTGCCTAACTCAATAACGACCTATGGAATAATCAAGTGAAAGTGAAACAATTTATTTGGAAGAATTTGTTTTTTGTACAAGAATATATAAATATTTATTTTGTATGGCAGCTTTTTGGCATGCAAATAGTGAAATAACGAACAGTGCAGAAGAAAAAT